TTTATGCGTGTAGCAGATTATTTGAGACTTTCTATTTTGTTCTACTAAATATGAAAAGAATAGTTGGAGGTTGACAATTATTAAAATTAATCCTCTTAACTGTCAAAGACACGTTTCAATGAAAATGACATTGTGATGTAAATGCATTGTTGTTGTTAGGTGTCCTCAGGTCTGTTCCAACTTACAGTGGCTCTCTGTTCATCAGAACGGAACACTGTCCAGTCCTGCACATTCCTCAAAATTGTACTTGTGTGTCAGCTCATCATTGCAGCCACTCTGTCAATCCATCTCACTGAGGGCCTTCCTTCTGGATTCTGCTCCACTTTACTGACCACGAGGTCCTTCTCTAAGTATTGGTCTCACCTTACAACGTGTCCAAAATATGTAAGAAAACGTCTTGTTATCACTGGTTCTAAGGAGAATTCTGGCTGTACTTCTTTTTTTTAATCGTTATATGAGGGGCTCATACAACTCTCATCACAATCCATACATACATCAATTGTGTAAAGCACATTTGTACATTCATTGCCCTCATCATTCTCAAAACATTTGCTCTCCGCCTAAGCCCCTGATATCAATCCTCATTTCCCCCCCCTCCCGCCTCTCCCCTCCCTCATGAACCCTTGATAATTTATAAATTATTATTTTGTCATATCTTGCCCTGTCCGACATCTCCCCTCACCCACTCTTCTATTGTCCGTCCCCCAAGGAGGAGGTCACATGTAAATCCTTGCAATCGGTTCCCCTTTTCCAACCCACCCTCCCTTCCACCCTCCCAGTATCGCCACTCACCACTGGTCCTTAAGGGATCATCCTCCATGGTTTCCCTGTGTTTCCAGTTCCTATCTGTACCAGTGTACAGCCTCTGGTCTAGCCAGATTTGTAAGGTAGAATTGGGATCATGGTAGTGGGGGAGGACTTCTTCCAAGACAGATCTATTTGTTCTTTTGGAAGTCTATAGTGCTTTAAATATACTTCACCAACACCATAGTTCAAATACATCAATCTTCTTCAGTTTTTCCAATTCTGCGTCTAATTTTCACATGCATATGAGGTGTCTGAAAATATGATGGCTTGGGTTAAGCACACTTTCGCCTCAAAGTAAACTCCTTGCTTTACAACACTGTAAAGAATTCCTGTGCAGCAGATTTATCCAACACAATGCATCATTTGATCTCTTGACTGCTGTTTCCATGAGTATTGATTGTGGATCCCAGCAAGATGAAATCCTTGACAACTTCAATCTTTTTTTCATTATCTTAATGTTACATATTGTTTCGGTTGTGATGATTTGGTTTTATTTACATGGAGTTGTAATCCATACTCAAGGCTACAATCCTTGATTTTCATCAGCAAGTGCTTCAAGTCCCCACTTTCAGCAAACAAAATTATGTCTTCAGCCTATTCCAGGTTGTTCATAAGCCTTCTTTCAATCTTAATGCAGCATCCTTCTTCATATAAGCCAGCGTCTATGATGATTTTCTCAGCATACAAATTGAATAAGAACAAGGGAGTGGCCCCCAAAATGAATTTTCTTCAAAGTTATGTACTTATTTATTTATTTATTTTACAAAACAACCTTATAACCTTCAAAATATTCTCTATAATACTTAACCCATTTGTCAAATCTGAGATTCCATTCTTGGAAACATCTTTCAAACTCATCTGTTTGGATGGGAGACAGCACCTCCCTCTTTTTCTCTTCACCCTTCTGTGTCTTTAAATTGCTGTCCTTTCATGGCCCTCTTCATTCATGGAAACTAAAATAAATCACATGAAGCAAGGTCAGGTGAGTAAGGTACATGGGGCAAAGTGGAATGCTGGTTTTTTTTACCCAAAACTGGCGAACTGAGATCACTGCCTGCCCAGGTGCATTGTGGTGGTTGCCAAACCAGTCCCCTGTCTTGCACAAATCAGGTCTTTTTTGTTATACACTGTTAAGTAATCTTCTAAGAACCCCTAGATTAAAACCTTAATTAACAATGTGACATGGTAGAACGAGCTCCAAACGCACTACAAGTCAACAATTGTCCATTCAGGAAGTTGACTAGTGTCCAGAAAAAAGTTTGTCATCAATTGACATTTCACCTTTTTTGAAATGAGAAAACCATTTGTATACTTGACTTTTTCCCATAGTGCTGTCCTTGCAAATTGTGTTCAACATCACAATAGTTTCTGCAGCATTTTTCCTGAGAAGGAAACAAAACTTCATAGCTGCACACTGTTTTCTTAAATTGGCCATCACAACAAACAAGTTTCGTGTGAAACTGCTTTTATGAAAAAATTCACTGTGATCAGAGAGAACCTGTCCAAGTGACACCACTGGGTGCACTAACTCAAAGAGAGTTGCTCAATGTTTGCCTATCAGGAAAAAATGCATACTATAAAATCTATGCTCTGCCGAGTGCGCTTCCAGATTATCGGTGTACCCCTTCGACAGTGAGAGGATACTAGGTTGACATACACTTTTCCTTATTTTAAGTATTGCCATCTTCTGTTCACACAACTGCCTCTTGATCCATGTGCAGGTTTCAAATGATCACAAATAACTGTTCTGGAATTTCTATTATTTTAAAAGAATCACAATGTTTGCTGTGATCCTCATAGTCAAATGCCTTAGCATAGTCAGTTAAAGACAAGTAAATATCTTTATAGTATTCTCTTCTTTCAGCCAAGATCTATCTGTATCAGTAATGATATCTGTTATTCCACATCCTCTTCTGAATCCAGCCTGAATCTCTGGGAGCTCCCTATCAATGTACTGCTGCAACCATTGTTGGGTGATATGCAGTACAATTTTACTTGAATGTAGAGTCAATTATATTGTTCTCTAATTTGAGTATTCTATTGAGTCACCCTTCTTTGGATTGAGTGCAAATATGGTCTCTTGAAATTAGTGGGCCAAGTAGCTGTCTTCCAATTTCTTGACATAGCATAGACCAGTGAGGGTTTCCTGCAGTCTTGCTTGTGGCCAAAGCTGTCAGTGAAAGCTGGACTTCTTCCTTCAGTACGAGTGGTTCTTCCTCGAATATGCCTCTTGAGATGCAGGGATGTTGACTAGTTTTTCGGTTCAGTGGCTCTGTGTACTCTTTCCATCTTCTTGGATGTTTCCTGAATCATTAAATATTTTGCCCACAGACCCTTTCAATGCTGCAACTCAAGGCTTGGACTTTTTCTTCAGCTTGTTCAGTTCAAGACATGCTGACGTGTTCTTCATTCTGGTTTTCCAACCCCAGGTCTCCTCTGCCCGCCACCCACCCGCGCCACTCTAGGTCTAGATTCTTTTTCAATGTCTTAGTACAAAGTGTAAAATCAGTATCATTCGTATCATTGCTTTGATTAATTATAAGGACTAGATTTTACCCCACATTGTTTCAACACGAACAGTACGCGTGTCAGCAAAGTGAAAAATCAAGGTAACACTTTAGACAGATTCTGAAAGTTACAACATTAGGACCCCTGAATGAGTTTGAAGACTCCCATTGTTCAACAGCGTCCATTCTGCTGAACATAATGTGACTCTTTTTACCAGCTCAGAACGACATTGATGGATGACATATTTCTCAGTCTCCTCTCATGATAATGGCCCCATCTTCAGGACCAGGACCATATGGATAGTTTTTAATGAAATATTTACAATGAACCAATATGAAGTATGAACCAGTGAACAATAAAATGGAGAATTTGTCTGATATTCAATAAAGGCCCATATCTACAATTTTCCATCATCATATATGTCCTTTACTTACACATGAACAATTCTTGTCCTTGGAATAATTTAACCCTTTTAATTATAAAAGATTTCCTTTATTTTATCTCACCTTATATCTTTAGCTTTATACATTACTGGAATTTAACTTAGTTTATTGAAATGAAAACTATTTATCTGATGTTCTGAACAATCTTAGTTCACAGATTGACTTGACTTTACTCCATGCTTCCTTCTCATCTTATTATGTTGAAGCTGTAACTCTGATACATTGCTCCTATGTTACTTTATGGCTATTTAATCTTATTTGAAATTATTTTTAAGTTCATATATATGCTACTAATAGTAGTGAGATCTTGATAGATTTATGAAAAATAAACTTCTTTTGATCTCTTTATTATCTATCACAATGTTCTCTTAATGATATAACATACTGGAATTTGTACCACAGGGCCATCATAATTCCTTTGATCTATAAAATACAGCTTGTGTGAGATATTGGAAATAAGGGCAACATCACCTGTTCCTGGAAAAGAGCTGGCATCGTGGATGGAAAAAAAGCAATATCTGCAAAGTTCCTGGTGTCTACTGGTAATAGTCTCCTCCCTATGCCAGGAATTTCCTTGAATACCTGCCAAGTCCTGCCAGATAACTCTTGTGTCACCAAACCTTCCTGGCATTAACGTCATTGTTATTCCCTTATATCCTCCTATAAAAACCCTGGCTTAACTAACCTGACAAAACCTCCCCAACCCCTGCAATTACAAGTGAGTCAAAGCTGCAGGCAGAGGAAACCCCAATCTGGGATTTTCCCTCACACTCTATGCAACTGCTATGGGAGAATACCACACCCTATAGAAGGTCAAAGTTCAGACTCAGCAAAGGGCTGTCTCAGGGACCTCAGGGACACAGATTCCCTAATTCTTGCCAGACTATAGAAAGGAATGACCATCTCCAGCAATCTCAGTGCCATCAAATTGATTCAGACATATATTCACTCTATGGGAAACAGTAAAAGTACCCCTGTGGGTTTCTGACTTGATGAACCTTTAGAGGAGCACAAAGCCTCATCATGTTCCCTCAGAGCAGATGATGAGTTCCACAGGCTACCTTGTGGTTAGCAACCAGGTGACCCCTGTGCTACCAGAGGCCTGGACCGTCCATTTACTTCCCAGGACTAGAAGGAAAAGAAATGTAGTAAGACAGGAATGCCGCTGCAAGCGCTCCCTCATCAACCTTCCTCTCACGATTTCTGATTGCTTCCTGACACTCAGGCATGAAGGCGTCTTCCATGGCTTTCTCCAGAATGTTCTGGACACTACTCTCCTGCCTGATGCTCCTATCCAAGGTCCAAGGTAAGATTCTTCTCATTAGCACTGGTGAAGCTTCAATGCCAAGTGGAAGAGAAAGTTGCCTGTGTGATACACATTGTAGTGCTAAGGGATGGTCCCAAATAATCAAACAGCCTAGAATTCCCTCATCATTACTACTTCAAAAGCCAAACTCTCTGCCGTCAAGTAAATTCTGACTCAGAATGACTCTACCAGACAGGATAGCTCTGCCCCTGTAAGTTTCCAAGACTTTAAGTTTTTATGGAAGGCAGAAAGCCTCATCTTTCTTCCTTGGAGCAGCTGGTGGTTTTGAACTGCTGGATATGCAGTTATAAGCTCAAGGTGTGACTACTATACAACCAGAGTCACTATAAAACCAGCCCAATGAATTAGAGTGAGTGAATTCTAATGGAATATATGATTTTCCATTTTGCCAGTGGACATCAATGAATGATAGGATGCTAAAAGATAAAATACAGAGTCCATTTTGAGTTATGTAAAGGGGCCAGCATAGGAAGAGTGATTCCATTGAGCTGTGAAGAAGTGAGTGGGGAGGCAGAAAGAAGGGATATGGTACAAGAGCCAGAGGAAGGACTTTCAGAACAAAAGGCGATGAACAAAAGTGAGAGGTGGTCAGGAGTGATTGTCACTCCTCATGCACTGGCCACATGTATATACCTTTCCAATCTCCAAAGTTCACTTCATTATGTTCCTCTCCTTTACTTTCTCTCCACCCTTCTAGCTGAAGACCCCCAGAGGGAGCTGCCCTCAGCCCGGATCAGCTGCCCCAGAGGCTCCAAGGCTTATGGTTCTTACTGTTATGCTTTGTTCCTGGCGCCCAAATCCTGGATGGATGCAGATGTATGTAGTGTTATGGAAAGATAGGGGTCACAGGGCTAAGTACCTGGGCAAACAGAGGAGGGAGGGGCACCCTTCCAGTCAACAGACTTGCTTGAATTTTTGTGCACCTATCTCTCCCACATGCCACCTTGCTCACCGACCATTTCCCTGTACCTCCTGCAGTAAAATTTCACTTCCGTTTCTGTCTCTCCATCCCCACGCAGATAGCCTGCCAGAAGCGGTCCTCAGGACACCTGGTCTCTGTGCTAGGGGCAACGGAAGGGTCTTTTGTTGCCTCCTTGGTGAAGAGCATTTCAACCAGCTATGCAAACATCTGGATTGGAATTCATGACCCCACACTGGTATGATTGCATTCTTTCCTTTCTTTTTCTCAAAATTGATGCTGCTTTATGGACTGTTGTCTGTTCACTGTGTCTGCTCAGGAAGTTCTGCACGGAGTGCTAGAGCTCAGTGATCCTGGGGCACCTTGGTGGGAAGGGAAGGACAGCGAGTGAGGCCAGGGGATAGTTGAGTGCTGTGGAGGTTGTGTTCTAAAGCTGAAACTAACTGCATCATTTTAAGCTTTTTATATAATACAGGAGGCTTCATAATTTAGTTCGTTTGAATTTCACAGACCTGTGTAAACTGTGCGCACGGAGTCCTAAATGACTATCTCTTTGTCTCTTGCAGAATTTCAATAGTTTTAGGGCTCTTAGCATAAACAATAGCAATGTACCACTATCTGTTAACCAATGACATACACTTAGGATTATTCTGCTAGCTGTGGCTTTGGGATTTTTCAAAGCAGCAAGTAGTTCAGAGCGTGCTTTATAGAATAGATGGTCCTGGAAAAGAAAACCAGTTCCCTAGTATGGGCGTGGGGATCAGAAATTCCAACCAGGGGAATTATGTAAAGAGAGCTATACAAGCCATTCTCTCACCCGCCTCCTTTCTTCACTGTGTAGGGCTTGCAACCCAATGCCGGAGGCTGGGAGTGGAGTAACGGAGACGTGCTACATTACTTGTCTTGGGAGAGAGATCCTGCCACAGTCTCAAATTCTGGCCACTGTGGGGCAGTGTCCCGAACCACAGGTAATAAACATAGAAGCCACTCTGCTCCTTTTCACTACTACCTGGATCTAATCTTCAGAAAATGTTCTAAGCAAATAAATCCAGTGCTGTGGGTTTTCTTCTCCCATCACATTTCACTCCCTTCTTGGTGTCTCAGCTTGCAGAGAGATGCTTGTAAGCACGGGGGTTAAATTCTAGACTAGAATTTGTAGTGCTGCCCTATTGAAGTCACAGCCTTCAATAGCTTCATCCACTTCTCGGCTCCCCCTTCAGGATTCCTCAAATGGAGAGACTATGACTGCAGCCAGAGGTTGCCCTATGTTTGCAAGTTTAAGGGCTAAGAGGGAGAGAACGAGAGCAGCTGGGACTGGTGGAGTCCTCATGGACTTGATATTAAGAGTGTGAAGACCTACCAAGGAAGCGAATATTCTCTTCCACATCTTCAACTTGATCCTTCCTTCTTGTCCTCTCTTCTCAACTCTCTTCCCTACCTATATCTTAGAGCTTTCTGCGTGATTCGTGGTCTAGGACTTAAGAGAGAAATAATAAAACTTTATTCTACCTTTTGTTTTTTTTTGTTTGGGTTTGTTTATTTGTTTGCTTTTGTTTTATTAGCCAGATCTTAAGGAAGAAAAATGGCTGGAGAATGATTCACGATCCATCTAATTTACTTCAGATCTTGGGAAAATGACAAAAAAAATCCTTACCCAGTATATTTCATATGAGCATATGACAGCTGCACACAGAGGATTGGGGTTTGGGCAGACATTTTATACTACACACCTTATACATTTCCCAATCCTGCTCTGATGGTCTGATTGGTTTCTCATGTTTAGAATATGACTTCTTAACCTTACTGGGGTTAAAAACAAATTTGTTGTTTTCTCCATTTTCCAATTCTCTTTGGACTACAAATATTAATTATTTGGAATTCCAGTATGAACTGTGATATATGAAGCTCTTGAAGGTTTTCACTCACTTCCTTAAAAGAGTAAAAAGTTTGAATGAAATGAAAACCCACAACTCTCCTCCTGTTCATGAGATAACTTAGTTACAAGGTAAAAACCCTAATCTTTGCAAAGGTACGTGATTATGGACGGTCCCAGCTTAAAGCTGCTAACCCGAAACAAAAGCCTCTAAAGTAGCACATTGTTAAGAATGTAGAAAAATAATTTGCCAAATATGTGCAGGTTGAGATTAGATTAGTTTTAAGGGCAATAAATCCCAGGAGTACATAGTATTAGGGAGGTTAACACCAGTTTGTGAGTTTTACCTTATGAGTCCTCATAGTGAAGAGACAAGAAAGGTCCTCTCATGATTCCTTTCAGGGAAAGGGACAACTTAACCAAAAATCTGTTCAGAGATTAAAAAATGACCTGCTTTCCAGGGGAAAAGACTGTATCAGCATTTTATCCCACCTCAGGTGATTGTTTAATCGGTTCTATCTCTATGTAGTTTGTTTACTTGATTCCATTTCTTTGAGGACAGTACATACAGCTGAGAAATACTTGTGAAAGTCAAGACCAGGGATACAAGCCCACAATATCATTTAGACTTAATCATAAGTTCATTAAATGCTTTCCCTTCTCTGACACCACCATAAATACAAATCTCCTGTACAATAGCAATAAAGTACATCTGAAAGGGAAGGAAAATATAGATGTTGTGTCACGTAGAATTTCTAGAAAAGTTCGGAGGCAGTATGAGATACAGAAACAGGACCACGGAGGGGATTTCCAGGCCCTGGCATCAATAGCTTTAGCAAATAGGAAGCACACTTCTAAGCAAAATCAAGTGAAACCAAACCAGTTTTTCTACAGTTGATTCAGAATCATGCTTAGCCCACATGCTCTCAGAGGGCAATTGTGTAATATAGGCACTTTAATGGCTGATTTATCAGAAGAAAATTGATATGCTTTCCTCCGGTCTTGATATTATAACTGCAAAGCTCTTAGTTAATAGTTCAAAGTTTAACCACTTGTGTCATAGAGGGTTTCCTCAATGGGTTAACATAAAATCTCATGCTAATGGCTTGTACTAATATGACTCTCAACAAACAATGATGTACTAAAAAAAATAAATAACAAAACCTAGAAAAAGAAGGAAGCATCAAAACCCCCTGATTGTGGGATTATATGTGGGATTATAAAGAGACTTTTCCCCAGCTTTGTCTCCCTCAAAGACATGCCAAACATTAAGGACTTTTTGCTAGCATATGGGGGGAGGTGGATGCTTAAAGACATCCTCCCTGAAGGCAGTCAGTCACCTGACTATGGTAGACCTCGCTCCCTGCTATTAAGGACAATGGTCTACTTATCCCTAAAGGCTTGCAGTCATTGATTTGGTTCCTGTAGGTGGAGTTCACACCCTACTGATAATGGTCTCTGTTTGAGCCAGAGAATAGGTCAAACCTGCTCTGTGACATCCAAAGTTAGGCTGCCATCCTGAATCTAGGATCCTCCTATCTTGTTACATGTATGTCCCCAGTCCCTCCTTTTCCTATTGCGTGTATATCCCTAGATTATCCCCCTCTCATTGCTGTATACCCTAGAGCACAACCCTTTCCTGTGACGTATGTCTTCACTCATAATTAGGGGCCTGCATGTCCCCAGAGAATATAAAAGCCTTGGTTAGCAATAACTATCTCTCTCTATGTGAACCACCAAGTGAGCCTGAGGTGAACATGCTACCATGAAATGTGTCTGACTCCATTATTTCTATCTCTCTTCTATCTCTCATGCTCTTTATGATTTTACTATAATCTTTACATATTATCGCTGTACAATTGTGCCTACCATCCTGTGATGATGTGCTAGGGGCTGGAATCCCCTCACACAGATATTGTATTAATCAGAAAAAAATTAAATACTATGATTAATGCATTAAAAGTGCTCATGAAGTCAGTGCACATGATGCTAGCATAGAGAGCAAGCTGGAAACTGTGATCAGAAGGTAATGCTAGAAGTTAAGATCTCATGAACAGGTGGAAAGAACATGTTTGATGGACTCATCAGTGAACTGCCCATGACCAAGGAAAGCGTACTTGTAAACTTAAAGAGAAAAATGTATTTGAAAAGTTTAATGTTCTACTGTCTGCCAAAAAGAACTTCTCAAACTGAAATGTAAAAACATAAGACAGAAAACAGGGGAGATGATCCAATATTAAAAGTTGTAGCACACATACGCTTGGCTACCAGAAGTAGAAGAAATAGCAAACAAAGCAAAACATACTATATTGGGCATAATAATATCTGAGAATTTTCCAAAATTAACAGCAGACTCCAAAGCACAGTTTCAGATGATTGAGCAAACATCAAACCAGATAAATACTAAAATATTTAAAGTTAACATATAATATTCAAACTGGAGAAAACAAGAGAAAATATAATAAAGAAATTGTATTTTAAAATGCCAGGGTAACTAGGAGAAATCTTCTTAGCCATAAAGAAGCAAGGATAAAAATTATAAGTCTTCTCTTCAGAAATCATGCAAGCAAGAGAGTAGGTGAAACTATTTAATGTATTGGAGGGGGGGTAAAGAAAACACTAAACAAGAATTAAATAGTCATCATATTATCCTTCAATGAGGAGCAATAAATAATTGCTAACATGAACAAAAGCTGAGATTCATAGCCAGTGGAGCTGACCAAGAAATGTTCGAAGAAGTTCTTTAAGGTGAAGAAAAATGGTATGTCAGAAATTTAATGAAATAAATCCCAAACCAAACCCACTCTCACTGTGTCTGTTCCAAATTGTAGGGATCTTCCAGCGAGGCCACATTCTCATCGTTCTCCAGTGCAGTGTCTGGCTTTGCCGGAAGCAAGGAGTGTCAATTCAAGTAAGGCAGTAAGAAATAGGAGAGATGAGGGGAGAACAAACAAATACATTATATTTGTCTTCAAATAAAAACTTGTAGAAAATAACCAAAAAATAACATGGTAAATGTTTGGGGTTTGTGTGTGTGTCTGTTTCATGATTTTATCACTATTCTTTCTACGTTTTAAGAATCTTAGTAGCATAATTCACATATACAATTCAATGGTTTCAACATAGTAAAGATTTGTGCCATCATCAACACAATCAAATTGAGAGTATTTTATTTTTCTGTGTACTTGCCATTATTAGTTGTCCATTTTCCCCAACCTCCTCTGCCACCCCCTAAAGAACTCATAATCAAATTATGGTCTCTATAGATTTACCTCACCTGGATTTCATGCACAGGAAACATACCAACAATAACAACAACAACAAAAAACAAACACCTTAATCAAAAAGAAAACAGAAAATAATAAAAAGCAGAACTAATGTAAAGTGTGTCAAAGGAGAGAACAAATGATAAGGTGTTGAATTTTAACCAAATTGCTAATGCGGTTGCGCAACTTTCAAAACTCACTCTCATGAGTCTGTAGGCTCAGAGCGAGCCTACTTTATAGGGCATATTAGAATTGTCCCCGTGGGTCTCCAAGTCAACATCAAGAGAGTTCTAGCTCATAGAGATCCTATGGCCAGCAGAGTGAAACCCTGCCGGGCCTTTTTCTCAGTCACTGCCCCTCGATTTGACTGGAGGAGCTCTGGTGCCTTTGGCTGCTAGTTGTAAGGTCAGCAGTTTGAAACCACAGCTGCTCCAGGGAAGGACGCCTGGACTTTCTGCTCCCATGAAGTGTTACAGTCTGGGAAACGCCCAGGGTCACTGGGAGTCAGCATTGACTCAATGGTTTGGTTTTGGTTCTACTTTCGCAAGCATGATGTCCTTTTTGAAGGAATAGGCTCTCCAACCACGCATTCAAAGTATGTGAGAGGAAGTCTCATCGTCCTTGCCTCTAAGGAACATTCTGGTTGTACTTCTTTCAAGACAAATTTGATCTTTGTCAGCCCATGTGCTTTCAATAATGGTATCTGCATGAATCCACATTCAAATGCCCCCTGAGAGTGAGGCTACTCGTGTTTTTATTTCTTTTAAGACTGGTCTATCCTTTCAGCAGTATATTAAATATTCTTCACCAAAACCAACATTTGCTGCAATTCACCTGTGTTTCCTTGTCGGTTGCTAGTGTGTGTATGCATACTAGTAGATTAAAAATACTATCTCTTGGGTCAGGTACAATTGACTGGAGGAGGTCTGGTGCCTTGGGCTGCTAGTTGTAAGGTCAGCAGTTTGATAGTGATCATACTGATATCTTCATTTTCACAAACTTGAATGCTCTTTTCTAGAAAATTAGTGCTGGGCTGTATGTTTTTTTGTTGGAGCAGAGCAAGGGAATAGTGCACAGTTTAAACTCAGGAGAGGTGTGTGTCAGCATTGCATCCTCTGACCACACTCATGTAACCTTTATACTTAGCAT